CCGTCACCAAGCTGGGCCGCCTGGTGGAGGACATGAAGTCCCTGGAGGAGATCTATGTATTCCCCTGCCCATTAAGGAATCTGAGATCATTGACTTTTTCCTAGGGGCCTCTCTCAAGGACGAGGTTTTGAAGATTATACCCGTCCAGAAGCAGACCCATGCCGGCCAGCGCACCAGGTTCAAGGCATTTGTTGCCATCGGGGACTACAATGGACACAGCGGTCTGGGTGTTAAGTGCTCCAAGGAGGTGGCCACTGCCATCCGCGGGGCCATCATCCTGGCCAAGCTCTCCATCGTCCCCATGCGCAGAGGCTGCTGGGGGAACAAGATTGGCAAGTCCCACACCGTCCCTTGCAAGGTGACAGGCCGCTGCGGCTCCGTGCTGGTGCACCTCATCTCTGCACCCACGGGCACTGGCATCGTCTCGGCGCTTGTGCTCAAGAAGCTGCTCATGATGGCTGGTATAGATGACTGCTACACCTCAGCCCGGGGCTGCACTGCCACCCTGGGCAACTTTGCCAAGGCCACCTTTGATGCCATCTCTAAGACCTACAGCTACCTGACCCCCGACCTCTGGAAGGAGACTGTGTTCACTAAGTCTCCCTATCAGGAATTCACTGACCACCTCGTCACGACCCACACCAGAGTCTCGCTGCAACCAAGCTGTGGCTACAACATAGGGTTTTTATACAAGAAAAATAAAGTGAATTAAGCCTGAAAAAAAAAAAAAAAAAAGACACAAATATACACATTAGCCTAGGCCTACACGGGGTCAATATCATCAATATCACTGTCTCCCACCTTCCACCATCACATCTCATCCCACTGGAAGGTCTCTAGGGGCAGTAACACATCTGGGGCTGTCATCTCCTGTAATAACAATGCCTTATTCTGAAATGCTTCCTAAAGGACCTGCCTGAGGCTCTTCTTGAGGAGGTATCACTGATGAAATACATGGTGGTTTGCTCGGTTTGTTTCTTTTTCCTTTTCTTTTTTTCTTTTTTCTTTTCTTTTTTTTTCTTTTTTTTTTTTTTTTTGGACACAGATTCTCAGTCTGTCACCCAGGCTGGAGTGCAGTGGCACAATCACAGCTCACTGCAGCCTCAACCTCCTGGGCTCAAGTGATCATCCCATCTCAACCTCCCAAGTAACTGAAGCTACAGGCATGTGCCACCTTGTTGTAGAGATAGGGTCTCACTCTGTTGTCCAGGTTCTTGAACTCCTGGGCTCAAGCAATCCTCCTGCCTCGGCCTCCCAAAGTGCTGGGATCACAGGTGTGAGCCACTGCACCTGGACCTGTTTCTTTTTTCATCATAGATTTTCTTGTCAGAAAATACTGCACCATAAACATTCCTCTCTATTAAGGAAAACCTTTCATTGTCGGGGGGGTCCATGTTTCCAAGCTTTTTAAGGAGCTGGTTGAGGTCTGTAAAAGCTTCTACTAAGCCCTTCACTGTGAATTTTCTTGGAAGTTCTTTTTCTTCTGCAGTTTCCTTTTCTCTTGCCTGTTCTTCAGCTATGTGTTCCTGTTCCAGTTCCAAGAATCCCTTATTCATTGGTTCCTTAGGAACCACCTCTAGGACCTCCTCAATGGCATCCTCATCCACACCGAGGTTAAACTTGTTTGCCAATTCCAACCACAGCTATGTTGATTTTTGCAACCTTCTTATCCTTGGCAAATCCTTTGAAGTCATGAACAAACCTATTCAGTTTCTTCTTCCAGATGCCATGCAGACATGCCTTGATAACATTGCCCCAGTCTCAAGCAAGGTCCTTGATGCAGTCATAAACATTGTAATCCTTCTAGAATTACACCAGCGTCTTCTTAGTGTCTCTCTCAGTTGCAGTAATAGCCTGGGTAAAGGTCTTCCTTGGGTAGTGGATATGGTTTGGCTGTGTCTCCACCCAAATCTCATCTTGAATTGTAGCACCCATAATTCCCATGTGTTGTGGGAGGAACCCGGTGGGAGATAATTGAATCATGGGGACAGTTTCCCCCATACTGTTCTCACAATAGTGAATAAATCTCACAAAATCTGATGGGGCCGAGCACGGTGGCTCATGCCTGTAATTCCAGTCTTGCTTGAGAGCAATGTGGCAGGTTACAAACTGAAACCCTTTGTGATCTGGAACAGGGAAAATTCCAGAGCCTTCCAGCTGATCAATAAATACATGTTGAAGCCTGGCATGGTGGTCCACACCTGTAATCCCAGTACTTTGGGAGGCCGAGGCAGGAGGATCTCTTGAGCCCAGGCGTTCAAGGCTGTAGTGAGCAATGATCATACCACTGCATTCCAGCCTGGATGACAGAGTGAGATCCTGTCTTTTAAAAAACAAACAAACAAAAAACAAGCACATGCTGCCAGTGTACTTCAGGAGCAATGAAACGTCATGGATGACCCAGCTCCGCTTCCAAGGTGCACTCCTGAATTGCTATGCCAGTACAGGGAGAAGTATTGTTTGGGGAAGAACATACCTTCCAAGATTTTGCTTATTGTTGATAATGCTCCCACACGTCTGCCTTTTACTGGTGATCTTCATCCCGGTATCAGAGTGGTGATTCTGCCTTCAAAAACCACCTCTTTGATCCAACCAATGGATCAAGGAGCTGTAGCAGCTTTTAAGCTACTACTGCTTTCTACTACTGTATTAGTCCGTTTTCGCGCTGCTGATAATGATATACCCCAGGCTGGGTAATTTATAAAGAAAGAGAGGTTTAATGGACTGACAGTTCCACGTGGTTGGGGAGGCCTCACAATCATGGTGGAAGATGCAAGTCATATTTTACATAGCGGGAGACAGGAGAGAATGAGAACCAGGTGAAAGGGCTTTCCTCCTATAAAACCATCAGATCTTTTTTTTCTTTTTGAGACCAAGTCTCGCTCTGTTGTCCAGGCTGGAGTGCAGTGGTGTGATCTTGGCTCACTGCAACCCCCATCTCCTGGGTTCAAGCAATTCTCCTGCCTCAGCCTCCCTAGTAGCTGAGACTACATGTGTCCACCACCACACCCAGTTAAGTTTTGTATTTTTAGTAGAGATTGGGTTTCACCACATTGGTCAGGCTGGTCTCAAATTCCTGACCTCACGTGATCTGCCTCCCAAAGTGCTGAGATTACAGGTGTGGGCCACCATGCCAGGCCTCAACATGCATTTATTGATAAGCTGGAAGACCCTGGAGCTCTCCCTGTTCCAGATCACAAAGGGTTTCAGTTTGTAACCTGCCACATTGCTCTCAAGCAAGACTGTCCTTAAAAGCCGTGAAACCTGGCATTAACTTGGCCTCTTTATAAATGAAAGTATTTTCAGACATCCATTTTCAGAAGAGGAGGTTTCATCCATATTAAAGATTTGCTCCTGCAAGTAATTTTCCTCACAATCAGCTTATCTAGAGCTTCCAAAAATTCTTCAGCTGCCTTCACATCAGCACTTACAGACTCACCACTCACTTTCATATTATGTAACGAATAACGATTCTTGAATAGTTTCAGCCACCCAGAGCTAGCAGTAAATTCCACACTGTAGTTGGATCCAGTCTTGCCTTTCAACATCACAAACAAACTTTGCTTTGTCAGTGATTGTCATGTGGCTGAGAGGGATATGCTTCTGTGTCTGGTCTTCAATCCAGGTCATTAGAAATGTATCCAGATCAGATTTAGGCCCTTCTCTCATTTTTGTTCATTTCATTGCCTTCAATGAAGCAGATCCTTTAACAGCTCCCATCATTTTGTTCTTGTTCTTCAAAATCATAGCTATGGTGGAATGGACCTGCCTGCCTGGTGAGCAATAACCATTGCGGATTTGCCACCTTTGTAGTCCTTAATCACTTTTAATTTTGCTTCCAGGTCAACCACTCGATGTGGCCTCTCCCTGGTGACATTAGCCATGAATTTTTTATGTGTAGGGGCCATAAAACAAAATGACCCAAGATGAAATCAAACACAGAAAAAGTGGTGCAGTCAAGAGATGCAGTAAATGCAAGATGTATGTAGGAGTGTACTCTAAAATAACAGGAAGGCTGAGGCAGGAGGACCACTTGAGCACAGGAGTTCGAGGCTGCAGCGAGCTATGATTGCACCACTGTGCTCCAGCCTGGGAGACAAAGCAAGACCTTGTCTCTAAAAATAAAAATCAGGCCGGGCGCAGTGGCTCACGCCTGTAACCCCAACACTTTTGGAGACTGAGACGGGCGGATTGCTTTCACTCAGGAGTTCGAGACCAGCCTGGGCAAAATGGTGAAACCCCATCTCTACCAAAAATACAAAAATTAGGTAGGTGTGGTGCCTGTAATCCCACCTACTCGGGAGCGGGAGGCTGAGGCAGGAGAACCACTTGAACCTGGGAGGTGGAGGCTGCAGTGAGACGAGATTGCACCACTGCACTCCACCCTGGGCAACAAAGTAAGACTGTCTCAAAAAAAAAAAAATAGATAAAAAATAAAAATGAATTAATTAAAAACATGCATTTTTCTAAAACAAATAAATAAATAAAATAACAATTTAAAAGTGCAGCATAGGCCAGGTGCAGTGGCTCATACCTATAATCCCAGCACTTTGGGAGGCCAAGGTAGGAGGATTGCTTGAAGCCTGGAGTACAAAACCAGCCTGGCAACAAAGTGAGACCCTTGTCTCTACAAAATAAAATAAAAATTCAAAGTAAGTACAGTAAATACATAACCCAGTAATATAGTTGTTAATTATCAAGTATTACGTACTACACATAATTGTGTGTGCTACATACTTTTATATGACTGGCAGCACAGATTTGTTTATACCAGCATTACCACAAACACATGAGTAATGCATTGCACTACAATGACTTTATTTTTCTTTTTTTTAAATTATTTATTTATTTATTTATTTATTTTGAGGCAAAGTCTCTCTCTGTTGCCCAGGCTGGAGTGCAATGGCATGATCTCGGCTCACTGCAAGCTCCACCTCCCGGGTTCATGCCATTCTCCTGCCTCAGCCTCCCGAGTAGCTGGGACTACAGGCACCCACCACCACACTCGGCTAATTTTTTTGTATTTTTAGTAAAGACAGGGTTTCACCATGTTAGCCAGGCTGGTCTGGATCTCCTGACCTCGTGATCCACCTACCTCGGCCTCCCAAAGTGCTGGGATTACAGGCATGAGCCACCGCACCAGCTTCTTTTTTTTTTTTTTTTTTTTTGAGACAGAGTTTCACTCTTGTTGCCTAGGCTGGAATGCAATGGCACAATTTTGGCTTACTGCAACCTCTGCCTTCTGAGTTCAAGTGATTCTCCTGCCTCAGCCTTCCAAATACTTGGGATTACAGGCACCCACCACCATGCCTGGCTATTTTTTTTTTTTTTAAAGAGAGACAGGGTTTTGCCATGTTGGTCAGGCTGGTCTTGAACTCCTGACCTCCAGTGACCCACCCACCTCGGCCTCCCAAAGTGCTGGGATTACAGGTGTGAGCCAATTGACATTAAAGTCAATGACTTTAAGACTTCTACCACGTCACCAGAAGATAGGAATTTTCAGCTCAATTATGTTATGAGACCGCTGTTTGTAAGTGAACTGTCATTGACAGAAACAACATTATGTGGCACGTAACTGTATTTAGGAGTAGAATTCCTAGGTCATAGAGGATGTATATATTCATCTACTAAACTATCTTTAATAGATATTGCCAGACAATTTTCCAACGTGGGGGTACCAATTCACCCTCCCATCTGAGGCACCAGAGGTTTTT